AACACTTTCGGTCGCCAGCGGTCCGCTTAGTAAAAATCGGTGCTTTTTTTGAGGAATTTAGCTTTTCTTTTTTTGCAATTGTCTCTGCATTCGATAATGTCAGCTTTATGCTGCTTATGCCGCGGCAACAAAATATAGCTGTCAAGTGTCAATTTATACTTTTAGGAACTAGAGGAATGGAATGGAACGATTCAGCCATTCCAGGAGTGGGAATGGGCTCAGTGTCCCCATTCCTAGGAGTTGAAAGGAATTGAATTATCGAAAACTCAAATTCCCCGGAATGGAATTGAAATGGAATGGGGGTGCCCATTCCGCAACACTGCTACTGAGCATGCGCACCGCTAGCTTTGTCTGCACAATTCCAGGGATCATTTCCTGAGGCCGTAACCTAGCGGGATGGCGGTTGTGGTTGCAGCTTTCGGTGCCTTGTCAGCTAACAGGTGAACAGAGTGCACCTACACTCTTTCTCTTAATTACAATATTTTATTTTTACAAGGGCAACCAGAATACGGGCGTATGAGAAACGAGAAGTGGTGTTGCAGAACATTTTTGAAAAATATCAAAATTGTTTCTATTGTTTTCTGGGTAAGCGTACGGAAAAAGTAACGTGAAAGTAATTTTTAACGTAACGAGTAAAGTAATTCGTTACTTTTCAGCCAAAGTAATTTGTAACGGTAATCCACTACATAATTTGCATTTGAGGCTCGGTAATTTTTCAAGTAACGAGCACAAGCCTGCTCGTATACAATATATTTTATTCCTGAAAACAGGAAAAGAAATGCAAGCACCTGTTTCCGCCTATCTTCTTTTTGTTGCGAGAAGCCGTTGATATTGAAAGCCAGAATGAGGTGACGCCGCCTAGTAAAGTTTTTAAAAAAAACAAAAAAAAACATACGTCTGGCTGGGCTGTTTTGTAGACGTATTGCATGAGGTACATATACCGGGTGTTACTGTGAAAAAAGAACTGTGTCTCTAGGCCCGCGTAAAAGAAAAAAAATATGCATAGAGGAAAGCTCAAACTCCGCGAGATTGTGACGCTAAAGCTTGGGAAAGAACGCCAAAGCTTGAGAACACCTGGATCAAAAGATAATGGAGAAATACGAAATGTCTCGATGACCCAACGTCCACCTAAGCCTATATATTGTTCAAACAAGAACTGACAGCGTGGACGCATGTGAGGTTTATACAAGAGAGAGGGAGAGAGTGAGAGCAAACGTCTTTATTGGTTCTTCTTTATCCACCACCTTCACACTCGAGGTCATGTGTAGGAAAGGGGATTGGGGAGTTAGAAGAGACGTGCCGGGTGCATGGTTGCCATCCATCCTGTTCTGCACATCTTACACGTGCCGCCTGCCCCCGGGACCGCCTGGCGCAGCTGCAGCTCCTTTCGTTGCCGCCATCTTCGTCTTTATGGCTCGAGTGATTGCTGTATTTGTTCGGAATCTCACGAGTATGATTCTGTCGGCTCAGGCGAAATTTTCAGGGATGTGGTCCTGTTCGTCTCTCGGAATAAGGGCATGGAAAGCATCGCGCCTCCGCGCCCGAGCCCGGGGCCAGGAACCTGTTCGAATCGAAGGGTAAGAGGGGGGACATCTCCATCGTGACACGGCTCCTGTGTGCTCGGGCTCGAGGTGGTGTCGCTTCTTTCTCCTAACGCCCTAGCCGCTTGGTGGGCGACTTCGTTCCCTGGAACGCTGGAATGACCTGGTATCCAGCAGATCCTAAGGAGACGCCCTCCTCTTTTCAGTTTTCTTCTAAGTATTCGCAGCATGAGGACCTCGTGGTTCCATGTGTCCGCCTTTTCACACTCGTCGTGCGCTTTATATAAAAGAAAATCATTTCTCAACACAAAAGAGGACATCGGTGTTTTTTGTTCGTTTGTCTCTTCTTACCAACAAGTTGTTATTTTTTTACTGGAATAGATGGGACTACAGGTGCCTACAATGTCATTTCTTGTTTTGACCGTATCAGGCTTAGGGGGACGTCGGTTCACAGAGAACTTTTGTCTTTCTCAGTTATCTCTTGATCCGTGCGACGTCATGTCTCAAATTCTCAAACTTTCGCGTTCTATCCCAGCCGCCATAGCGTCAAGTTCTCGCGGAGTTTGAACTCTCTGCGATCCATTGTTTACTTACGTGTGCCATAGAAACACTTGCTTGGTAGAAGAGCGTGTTGGTTTAGGTCATGGATGAAGAAAGAATAAACAATTAAACAAAACGGCAGGGAAATCATAGAATCATTCGCCATGACCACAGCAAAAAATAACGTGTCAAACCCTTCCCTCCTGCTGACAAAAACTGAGGTTGAATTTTTAAAATCTGAGATAACCCTACCACCCTGACTTGCACTTCGCGTGTTTTATCTTTCCTTCTCTCCACTTCTCTCCCCTACTCCTACTGGGTATAGTCGGCTGCTCGCTGTTGAAAGTTTACTCGTCTGTTGCTAGTTGAAAGATGTGGTTGTGTTGTCCCTGTTTTAATTGTTTATTCTTTCTTCATCCATGACCAAAGAAACAGTTCTCCTTTCTCGGGGACGCACTGGCATCGCGAGAACACATCGATAATGCTTTCCCGTAAAACAAAATAAAATTTTAAAAAAAATATTGTGTTTTATGTTCAGACAGCGGTTATTATGGTGCATCCACACTGGCGTTCGAATCGCCACCGCAATGCCGATCCGCTCGTTTTTGTCATCAAACGCGCGATCATTTCTATTGGATCTTTAGGCAGCCACGTTCGCCACCACCTCGCATATGCAGTTCAACCGTCAGTGTGAATGATGCATTAGTTAGCCGCAGTGGGAGTCTGCTGTCTCCAGAGTTAAAACTTAGCCGTCCTCTTTATTACACTTAGGCATAGCGCCGCTTATCTAACTCCAATGGCGTTCGAACGACAGGGCGACAGACTTCCTGATTGTTTAGCCATGGGCGTAAAATGAAACAAAATTAAAGGATGTATCGAGACAATGTGTTGAAAGCTGGAAGGTTGAGGAAGAAAAGCGCGTTTACATTCAAAATCAAAACTGTCGCGCAAGATTTTTTTTTTTTTTTTGTCGAAAAGGGGCAGAACAGTTTTTCGGACCGGTCGCCGAGTCGCCCGGCTGCTGAACCAATCAGCAGCTCCTCGGTAGCAACGTGTAGTGCGCTTCCCGTTTGTTTACGTCCGGCGACTTTGATTAGCTCTGAATACCCACTTTTTTTATATATATAGGACACGTGGAAATTTTTACGAAAACGCAGTGTCGCAGGAAGAAGGCACAATTCGTCGAAAGCAAGTTTTGCCGGTTTCTTCGGGGAGCAAATGGGAGTTCAGAGGACCAAATGCTGCCGTTAGTCCTTTGAGACCATCTTTTTTTTCTTAGAGTGTAGTTTATTCGTGCTCGATCGACCACGAACATCCAGAAAGAGCATGCGCAGCACGCGACATAGAAGAAAAAAGGAAACAGGAAACAGATTGAAAAGTCACCCACCAAGACGCACTCCCTGATAGTCATTATCACACCAGCAACCCGGATAAAAACTGGACTTCACTCTCAAACAAAGAAACCGAGGTATCCCTAACACAGTTACGTCCCTTCTTTATATAAAACGCTTCCATCAGTTCCCTGGCTGTGCTATCTTTGCTTCTACCCAAGGTCCTGATCTCTTGAAATCGCGCATCACACCCACAGTCGCACAGTGAGTTGGCAAGTGTGCGTTACCTTTATTCCTGATTGACAATTTATGTTCCCGTGCGCGGCCCTTGTGTCGCGCAAAAAAACTTATTTATTCGTCTGCCGCAGTGGGCGTCTGCTATCTCCAGAGTTAAAACTTAGCCGTTCTCTTTATTACACTTAGGCATAGCGCCGCTTATCTAACTCCAATGGCGTTCGAACGACAGGGCGACAGACTTCCTGATTGTTTAGCCATGGGCGTAAAATGAAACAAAATTAAAGAATGTATCGAGGCAATGGGTTGAAAGCTGAGAGATTGTGAAGGAAAAGCGCGTTCACACTTGAAGTCGAAACTGTAGCGCGACAGTTTTTTTGTTGTTTTTTTTTACAAAAAAGGGTAGTCGTTTTTAGACCAATTTTTCAGACCGGTCGCCGAGTCGCCCAGCGGCTGAACTAATCAGCAGCTCCTCGTTAGCGACGTGTAGTGCGCCTCCCGTTTGTTGACGTCAGGCACGCACCTCTGCGTGAGAAGCAACGAACAAATCCGTCCAACGCCTCGGTTCGCGGTTGCGGCAATGAAATTCATGGAGGTCTCTGCGGCGACTCTGATAAGCGCTGAATACACGCTTCTTTTAGAAAAGCAGCACCACAATTTGAACGAGCGTTCAAAAAAAAAAGAAAGAAAACTCGGCCTGGCAGCAAATCCGTGCCAGTCTTGGCTCGACAGATGTACGTACTGCGCCGCGGTAGCTGGAACGAGTGCACGCCGTTGTAGCGATCTGTGCTTCATTGGATGGTTCCACAGAACCAAAATAAACGTAACAAGTCTTTTTTGTTCTAGAGCGCAGCTCTTAGGGGCCTGTTTCCGGCTTGAGTGGCGTCGGCGTAACCGCGAGGTCACGTGACCCCCTCCCCGAGGTCACGTGACCCCTCCAGGTCACGTGACCCCTCAGTATACCGTTCCCCTCAGTACCCTCCCCTCAGTACCCTTCCCTCCTCCTCCTCCTCAAGAGCTGCGCTCCGATTCGGCGTTACAGGGAGTTGTAAACGGCTTTCATTTTTTCATATGGCAACAACGACACATGTCTAGCTGCGGGACGGCGAAAATGGGAAAGCAGCAAATCGGGAACCCGAGCTGGGAAGGACGGAATCGACTGTGGCTGCCGAGAGGTTCCGAGAAGTGACTCGCCGTTAGCGATCTCACCTGTCGCCCGCAGTCTGAACGCTGGTGGTAGATGCCTGATGCGTGTCGCTAGCCGGTCGCGCGGCTGCTGCGAGTTGCAAGTGTGAACACGCCTTTAAGTCCCCCGACATCCAGAAAAAAACAAGTTGAGCAAATGGTCTTTATGTATCTGTATTCACGTTCTAGTTGAAGTTTATTGAGAAAAGCGTAGCTCTTGAAGCCCGGCATCCAAGTGTTGGTCTTCTTTACACAGTGCCTGAAATGAATCCAAACAAAAGCGGGGATTCAACCCAAACAATATGAGACCATCCCCAGCCCTGAAAGAACCCTCTGGTGCCTGCGGCCAGAGGATCTTGAATTTCACCGCTTTTTTTTCCTCTATAAAGAATCTGGTGCGTTGACACACCAGATTCCCTAATTTCCGCTAACGCCGTTGGAAGCCTACACTCTTAGAAAAAAGGGTCAGTATAGTCCTCCCTAAAGGGAGGAACGCTCTTGACACATATGTTCCTTCAGAAAGGGAGAAACTTTCGTCCCTTAAGCAGGGGAGGAAAAGTTCCTCCGTCGACTGCATCTCATTATGGCGGCCACGAATCGAGCAAATCGAGCTCGGTAAGGCTTAACGAGAACACTAAGTCTATTGCACGAAGCGAGAGGAGCAGGAAATAAAAACGTAACACGAGCTTTCCGCGAACTGTATTTATTTCCGAAGTTTCTTTACCCCTGCAGGTAAAGAAACTTACGTTTCGAAAGCATGCAGTCACTCAGTCTTCTCATCGTCAGCACTGCGATGTTCAACGGAGACAACCGGCACTCAGTTCGCGCACTTTATGTCCTACCTTTGCTATTCCTCGAGCCACAATTCCTTCGTCAACCGTAGCGTCAACCGCACATCACTGAGGAGTGAAAATCATTCGCCCGCAAAACCAAAAGCCGCTCTCAAAAAAAAAAAGCAAATCCGAAGCAACCTCTTGGCTTTTCTCAGCACGGTAACACGAAATTATGGCGTAGCCGCGTAGCGTAAAAGGATGTTAAATCGCTTGCCACCAGATGGCAGGGTCAAGCAGAGTAATCGCACGTAGCTAGGCTAGGTGGCGCTAGGTACCGCCCAATTCATGTTTTACAAAAAAATATTTTCATTTTCTTACGCCACAATTGCGTTTCCTTTTCTTCGGCATCTCTAACACATGTAGACACGTTGCGCACACTACAAACATCAGGTCAACATATATTGAACGCATACACAGGCATCGCACATACAAACATCAATTCAACAGCACACTACCCCGATCACTACTAGCGAGCCCTGCGTTTCCGTCTTTTATAGTGGTCGTTTTGAACGTGCGGAATTTTTCGGTGACACCCTAAGCAAAAAAAAATATTCCGAACATGTTCATTTTTTTTCAGCAATGTCATACATCTGAGGCTATTCTTAATGGCTCAGGGGATGAATCTCTTATTAAAAAGAAGACGCTCAATCATGCCATAATTATTTGAAAGCCAATAAATCGAGCCGCTCCAATGTGGTTCCAAGCCTTGAGTTTGTTTTCCCGCATGGCCCTTCGTAGCGAGTATTTATATTGTAGTCTTCGTTTTTCTATTTGTGCTGTTCGCGCAAAGCTGCAATTGCCGTCTTGAATTAATCTCTGTAGAGCGGATATCCAATCAGCTGGAAGTGATGCTTCACGGGCACAGAAATCGCTTTTCGATCAACTTGAATGCAGTCAAAGCCGCGACTTCCGACAACTGTTAAGTGTACGGAGCTGCGCCGTTGCGAGCTCGAAAACTTCTAGCGCTCATCCCAGCGCGCCACTTAGAGGGCAGTTTCTACAGGAACCGTAATATATTTAAACAGTAAAATAAAGGATAGCGTTTTTTTTTCGATTTTGCCTGTCTTTTTTTTTTTTTATGCTAAACTTCCATTATAAATATACGTACTTTCCGTCATACTTTCGTAGTGTTGTCTTTTCCCCAGAGCGCAATCGCTCTCGGGGACCGACAGTCACATTGGCCACTGTACGATAGGAGCTTACCGTTCAGACCAGCGTTCCAACATGACTATCCACACGTCGATCGACTGCACCTAATCCCTCAAGTGGTTTTAAACTCTTTAATGTAAAGCGGAATGTCATCCTGCGACACCCCGGCCCCTCCGATAACGGCCCGACCAGCGGCATCAATGCCCGACAGTTTACGTCATCTCATCTTGTTGTTACACCACTGATACGCGAACACACGGTCACATCGGCGATAATTCCAGTCTTCTGTTCACAACCCACAACACCGCCATCATGATGTCGCTGACACGAAGAAATACAGAACCACGTTGACGATGTTGCTGACACGCAGAAGAATCACGTTGAACGCCGGTTGGCACTCGGCACGGAAGGCACCCAGGCAGCCGGCAGGAAAACCTGCCTTCCTTGGACGCAGTTCCCGCGATTTCCATGACGTCGAAAACGTCGACACAGTTCCTCGTGGTTTCGCTGCTGTAGTTCCGCGTGTGTCCCGCAAATTGGAGACGGCCGTCTTACCCAGTGTATGTAGCACTGCTGGCACTGCTCCGGAACTTCGCTGTTTCTAGCGGCTTCGTTAGCTCATTTGATAAAATTAGTGGTAAAAACGTCAATGCAACCGAAATGTTCTGCACGTTTGGACTAGAAGACGGAATTACAGGCGGCCTTCGCTGCCGCTGAAGCTCAATCAACTCAACATTAATTTATTAAACAACGTGCGCGATGTGCTCGAAAAACGAAACCGAAAGAAGATGGGTCGGGAGGGCGAAAGCTTTCTCCGGTCTGCCTGGAGGAGGAAAACGTCTCGGAGAATAATAAGGACTTTAATTTTCCTTTCATCGGTCTGGGTTTGTTTATGTGTGTTTTGGTAAACAAAAATAAAAAAAAAAACTTCACAAAAAAAACAAAAAACAAAAAAAACCACTTTCCTGGGGATCGAACCGTTGACCACTTGGTCAGTAGCGCGATGTTCTACCCCTGCGCCAACTGAACAAGGAGGAACTCGCCCTCCTCCTTTCATCTGAACTGCCGTTCCTCCCTTCTCTGGGCAACTTGTCCGCAACAAGGAGGAACAGTCGCTTTTGCTACCTTTCTCCTCCCTTTTTTCTTAGAGTGTACGGAAGGATCTCAGCGAAAAACGAGACTGGAAATATGTTTAGGCTTAAAGTGGAAGTTTGCGACGTGACGCATGAGCATCATGTTTCAGGTGCCTACATCATGCTCAGAGTCAGAACGCAGACTATCCTCTTTTTTTCCCCTTTCTTTCATATAAGCACATTTCCAACCTCGTTATTCGCAGAGCACCCTTCGCATATTGCAGCGTTTGGCTCCTTCAAGTCCTTTGCGGAAAAGTATAAACGCACCAGATTCCCAGAGTGTGCCAGCATGTTCACGCTATAGACGTTTGCAAGAATGGCCTCTGGGCGCCGCCATCTTGCTGCTGGTGTGGGCAGATCGTCTGATAACCAAGCATTGCTGAGGCGCGTACCCACGGTTTCCAGACTGGCGCCTAAATAAAGCTGTATTTTAGAATGTATATACATTCTAAAATACAGCCGTTCGCATATCTTCCCACGGGGCACTCGCTAGGCCGATCGATGCATTCTAAAGATACAGCTAGGACAATGAGGATGTAGAGAAGTCGTTTTCATCTAAAATTGAGTTTTGCGGTGTGTCAATAATCATGGCGACTTACATGCCAACGTCGTGCTCGGTGTCACATCTAAGACATGGTGGTCAGATCGAATAGTTTTTTGGGGTCTAGCCATTGCACCTATCGTACCTCTGACCGTTATGATTGACTTTTATAACGAAATAAAAGTTTCCGGCATATTTAGAATGCATCTAACAAATCACTATCAGCAATGTTTGCTCTGAAAACCCAGACAGATTTTAATTAAGGCAAATTTTTGAATAAAGTTTGATAACTAATAAGAAGTGAAAAATAAAAAATCTAAGTTTATAATATTACAACGAGGTACTCCTTTTTAATAACTCTTTCTTTTACTGTAACTTTTTTTTCTTGTTTTTTACTATACCAAGTTTTTTATACTTTTGCTGTACCGAGTGTTTGGGAGAAAACTGGATTGGGTATTTGTTCAATAATAACCTACGTATCTCCAAACGCTCCGACTAAATGTACCCCAGCAATTCGAACCACGGCAGCTGTCGAAGTTTTAAAACTTACATTCAACAGATGTAAAAAAATATTAGCCATTTCCGGAAATGTTCCACGAGAAATTGATGGTCAATTTTTGCACTGATTTCTGACCTGTTTGTTCACTTTTTATTTGTTTTAGTATTGCTGACTAGTTATATTTTCCCTGCCTACGCTCTCCCCCTCTGTAATGCCTTCGGGCCCTGAGGGTACAATAAATAAATAAATAAATAAAAGGAGTTGAACGAAGTCCGCTACAAAGAACGGGTGTCTTTTGCCCACAGAAATCCTCCGAAACTCGTTTATAACTTTTGAATCAGGTAAAGCTAAGATTTAAAACCTTTCTCAGCTCGTCCCAGTCCGTGACTTCACACCTGGGCGGGGGGACATAGCTTTCTGAGTTGCGGTGTGAATGAAAAAACAAACAAACATGGCACCGTTTTCTCCCAAGCACTCTGTACTTAAGTGAGGGTGTCCTATGCGGTACTCACAGACAGTTGCAGCTAGCAGCTGAGACTGGACAGTTTCCACCTGGTCCGTCACCGGGTATCCCGTATAATCCGTCTGGTTCAGCAGTTTGCTGAGGTAGCACCCCACGTCATTGTACACTATCATACTTGTCATCATCGGCTGAAGATTGACCAGACACTACAACAGAATGAAAGACCCAGAGACAAGCATTGAATGTCACTCACGGGTAGACCCATTCAAATGGTCTAGAATGAGTAGAGAGACTGGACGAGAGGAAGGGGTGAGAATGTGAGGACACATCAGAGCGCCAAGCGACGCAAAAGGTGTTCGCAACTTTCAGCGATGGTGGTACCGCGGTGTGAATTGATTGATTGATTGATTGATTCGTGCCCGCCGTGCCAATCTGCCACCTCCTGTCCGCGCGTGGGTATGGTGAGCAGATGCGTAGCGCGTCCCCGAGAGTCCGTGAAACTTGAGAATATACGGCGGGCAAGTGTACCAAAATGCGCCTCGATCTGGCACGTCGGATGGCAAAGAGGGGCACGGCAATCAAACGGCATCATAAAAATTGCGGGCAGAACCAGCTGTGTTGCTGTTAATTAAGCGATCAGCGGCAGACGTAACTGAAAGAACCGAGGCAGGTCGGACGTAAATTTTCCGGCTAAATTTAGCGGATAAACTGAATTTGAGTGTGGGATCACGTGACATCAAGTCATATGACGTCATTTTCCCCGCTAAATTTAGCGGGGAAACTGAATATTGGTTGAGGCCGTGACATCAAGTCATGTGACGTCATTTTCCCCGCTAAATATAGCGGAGAGACTGGATTGGTGTCGAGGTCAGGTGACGCCGACTTCCTGCGAAATCTAGCTGGAAAACTGAATTTTTGCGTAGGTCACGTGACATCAATTCTTTCCCTAAATTTAACGAACTAAATTTCTGTATGGGTGACGGCAAAAAAACAAAATAGGAAAGACGGAGAACACGAGGGAGATTTTATAAACAACGGGAAATCAGAGACATCCTTCATCGTCGAAAAGAAAATCTTACCACGAATTCGTCCGAGAGAAGTCGGCTAAAGGTCGGCTAGAAAAGAAAAAAACACACAAAAACAACATGAACACATGTGAAAGATGTTTGACGCAAAATCAAACATTGGTCGTTTTTTATGTTCGGATCAAGGTTCAAAATTACACCTATTAGCTACTTGAAAGCCCCACAACTCATCGTAACTTATTCGTGTAGATTGTGCTCTTTCTCATCAGGCCAAAAATGTACGTTAGGATATATCAGCCGTTCATAAAAAGACCAAACGCCTCTTTAAATATAACTGCCTAGAAACCTACTTGGTGCGGCTATCGTTCAAAGTATTTCGATTATCACTGTTAAGGTACGCGGGGCGAGTCCATGGGCATAATCTGATCTCTCCGCAGCCAATCAGCTTACAGCGTTAGCCAATAGGAATGTCGAAGGACCAATCAGGAACCGTGAACATGAAAAGCATGCACGTTGACGGTCCGATGGAATTGTCAACAGTCTCAGAAACAAAAAAGACAGGCGCGGTGACAACAAGGGACTGCAGTTCCTTGTCTGCAAAAAGGCCGGCTCTCGGCGTCGTCTGCTCGTTCGTTGGCGGCAGTTGGCGTCGCGACCGCTTACGCCATCTCTTGTCTCGCGTGCGAAGCGGCGCCGTGTTGTTTGCAGACCGGGCGCGTCGCTGCGTTTCCATAGGAGCTAAGCCTTTTTCTTTCTTTACTTTTTCCTCAGGTAACTTCGCTCTTTGCAAATTTTACAAAAAAAAATGCACCATCTGTGGGCAACGCTGCACAAAGTCGTAGCGCGATAGGTTAAGAAACCAAATTTTCCGGTCGATTTAAAGAGCCTGCCGTCTCCTTGTTTCACCCTGTAGATAAGGCAATACATCGCAGAGAGCTCAAGCTCCGTGAGAATACGACGCCAGCGGTTGGGATGGAACACGAAGATTTGAAAAAAAAAAATGAAGTCACCTGAATCAAACGATAACTCAGAAAAACGAAATTTCTCTATGAGCCGACGTCCGCCTAAGTCTAATGTCTTCAAAACAAAAAAAAAACAAAAAAAAATACATTGTGGTCCTTTGTAGCATATATTTCAATGAAACGAACTTGTCATAAAGAAAGAAAGAAATATTCGCTTTCTTGATGACGGGTGTTTTTCACTGATACATGTCTCACAAGCGTTCACAATATATAATTTCTTGTCTTGACGATATATATAGGGTGTCTCAATTCACCAGGTTCGATCTAAAATGGACCGCGAAAATCGGCGCCTGCGTGAAGAAATCTGGACTTTTCGTCAAAGATGTATTTCACAGGTCGTTTTCTTTTTGTGTGTCTGTAAAATTACAAAGCGTAGCTCCCTTTCTGTAAAAAAAAATAGGGCCAAGAAACTTGCCAGGATGAACGGCGGGCGACCAGACGACCAAATCGAGTTGCAGGGTGTGTTTGGCGCACGTATTGATAGATGGCGTCGGGAGCAGCGTCCGAAGGTGTAGGCGACCAGCGAAAGAAAGCAGACGACACGCAACGAAATCCGTTGGCAGCAAAAGCGCCGTCGTTATGCAAACGCGTTTTTTTTTTTTAACTGTAAGTTTCAATTTTATTGTTTGCATTTGTATTTAAATCAGAGGTACATTACGAAAATATGTTGTTCATTTTAATACACCACGGTGGTCGCGAGCAGTCTCGATAAAGAGGTAGCGTCATCTATCAATATGAGCGCCAAACACACGCCGCAGCTCTACTTGGTCGTCTGCGTCGCCGCCCACCGTTGACCCTGGCACGTTTCTTGGCACTATTTTTTTACAAAACGGGAGCTACGCTTTCTAATTTTACAAGTAAAAATCGACCTGTGATATACACCTTTAACGAAAAGTTTTGATTGCTACGTGCAGACGTCGATTTTTACGGTCCATTTTAGGTCGAGCCTGGTGACTTTGGACTCCCTATATATTTGAGCGATAAAGCAACCAAAACCACGGAGTGGTTTTGCAACTTAATGGCGAAACCCTTCCCACGCAGATTGGTTGCTAATGCACATGCGTGAGCTGGCGCGTGGCGGGTAGGACAGGGGGTGGAAAGGTTGAGCAGGGATAGGCTAGGTGGCGCAAGCTACCGCCCGTTACAAAGTGCATGGCCATTAACACCCATCCATCCATCCAGGGACGCTTGCAGACGATCAGCGCCTTTGACTCCTCCTTGCACTTCGTATCACAAACGCGGCCCGTAAACCACGTGATTCCGGTCGGGCAGTTGGGAACACTCTCATATCTAGGCACACTATAGTCACTTATAAGATAAGAACGACAAGGTGGGGAGCTTCGGTTGTCCCGTCCCGTCTCCAGCGCAACTGCTGCTACCTTCGACAATGCTTCCGTGTCTCGTGAACCTTGAGCACACACGCGCAGCCAAATTATGGGTGAAGGCATGCATGGGAGCATGCTGAAGGCCTGGCGTTCGAAATGCACGCTCTGCCGTTCTTACTCTATCCGCGACTACAGTCGTAACCTAACTCCACCATTGCGGAAGAAATAACTTACGTCCGTAGGTGGAACGCCTTGGCAGGCTTCATTCGGCTCGCACTGAAAGTCAATAAATTGAAAGCAATGTGAAACCATTTTCAGGAATAAATAAAGGGTACAACCGTAGCGAGTGCGTGCCAGAGCTGTGTTAATTGAACCCAATAAACTCGAGATTTCGATATGCAAGGTTTTTAGGGGCGAAGCTCCTTAGGGTTTAGCCTTGTCCGGCGTCCGTGCTCACATCGATTGCCATCCCATCTGTCTTCTTAAAAAAAAAAAGAAAAAAAAATGTTTCCGCAGTCGACAGGATTCGAACCTGTGCGGGGAGACCCCAATAAATTTCTAGTCCATCGCCCTAGCCACTCGGCCACGACTGCGGGACGGGTAGGGGGCTCTGAGATGCGGTATAGTAACTCAAGAGCTGGGGATGTCATGGATGAAACGTTGCATGTAGCCGCTCAATGTCTATACAACAGAGGGCGCTGCGGTCAAATGCGTATATAATCGCGTTAAACTTTGCACGCATTGGCTCAATGTTTATAGACGAGAGGGCGCTGCGGTCAAATGCCCAAAAAATCAGTATCATCAGCACCACCAGAGCTTCCCCCCAATCAACATCATTCACCACGTGGAGATGCGGTCATTTTTTCTTTATTCTTTTTTTTCAGCTTTATAACTTTCTTAAAAAAAAAAAAAACTAAAAAAAAAACATGCAAATCTGCCTAAGCGCGGTTTGTGCAAGCGACTTATACGGCCAGGGGGACATATTAGAGAGGGCCAATCGTCGCAATAATTCGGAAAATAACCTAAGATTTGTTCATTAACTTTTCCATTCACGAAGATAAATATAGGTTTAGAATTACAAACTTGCTGACTGAGCGTCATGGAAATCCTCTAAATCAGTAAAGTTTGGAGGGACTTGAAGCACGTAAGAAGCGCGTTGGTGCGCCAAAATTAGCACACGTGCAACAGGCGCAGGCCTGCAAAAACGCGCCGGCTTGGGTTTTCCGACTACCGTTCACGCAGTTGCAAGTTGCAACCATGGCCGTATAGCTCACCTGTACAAACCGCATTAATGTAGCTTTCGCGACTTTCTTTTTTTTTTTTTTTTTTTAACGATTAAATCTGTAAAGCCTGAACGAAAACACCGTATTTGTTTCTCTATATCTGCGGGTCTCCAAAATAGCAGATGCTGAACAATGTACGTAGTGTAGAAAACAGTATACATTCATCAAATTTAGCAGATTAGAGTTTACAGAATGAGTCAAAATATTAGATAGTTTACATTATTTGTCACCGCCTTCCACCAATGCAATTCTTCTCCTCCTTATTATATCTGCGAACTAAACCGCAATGAACTTTTCTTTTTCGTAGACATCATTTCTTCTAGTCAGTGCGCATGTGTGTGCACTTCGTCGTTAGATTTATTATTAAACTAAGATAACCGAAATAATCACACCGAAGAATATCAGTTAGAATATCAGATCGTTCGTAATTACTATAGATAATAATAGTATCCCTCATCAATGGGATAATGTGATATGAAGAGATATCATCTCATCATGTATCTTCTCCTGAACATTTGATTTGTTGTTGTTATTGTTGTTGTTGTTATTGTTTTTTGTTATTGTTGTCGTCTCTGCGAGAACATATGCCAGAAAATAATAAGGCGGTAACTTTACCATGCTTTCGTCGGGTTGAGGTGCAGGTACTTGGAACTCAATGGGCGTGCCGCAGGCAGAGTCTTCGAGGCTTGGGTCGACTCCACAAAACAGCTGAGGGCCGTGGGAGCCATCCAGGCAGTACGAGGCGAGGTAGTCCAGCGTAGTCACTGTGGGGCCCAACATGAGAACAATCCGTTCAATAGGTCGTTTCTGCCCAATCGCCGTAATCGTTATCAGCTACGTCATGAATCGTGATTACGTGTTGATGACGTAGCTGATGACCTCACTGAGAGTTTTTGAGGCGCATGAACGCGCAATGGATCTTTTATTACCACAGGGATCTGCCTTTTCCTTGAGAACGGAGCATGTACAGCGCTACTTTACCTGATGATGATGATGATGATGATAAGGTTACGGCTATTCCCTTTGTGACGGGCAGGTTCGACCTGTATTCGTGCACCAAGCCTCGGGGTACATTGGGAGCTTAGTTAGCCCTGAGATGTACTTTTCTCCACCAGTCCTCCACACGTTGCCTTGAGGTCTTAAGAGCCAACCAGTTTGAACCCAGTTTGTCCCACTGTGCGTTAGGGCTGTTGGCTTTATCCGTCACGTCCTGTATCGGTGGCTTGATGTCGGTCTTGAGTGCACTCCCTGAAGCCCAAAGCATGAGCGAGCGCCAGAGGGCTCTGAGGATAGGGGCCACTGAACTGTGAAGGATCGGCACTAGAGCCGTGCATTCAAGTACAATATGTGCTATTATTTCATCGTGGGCGCCACACGCCCGGCACACACTCGCGGTCACAGTTGCGTCAAAGTGCCGCCTGTAGGACAGGGTCCGCAGGGCCCCGGCTCGTGCCTCAAAAACCAATCCGCTGCCAAGGCTGTTATCGTAAAGCCGAGTCTCTGGGGCGATGCTCTGCTTGTACGTCACGTAGACATCCACCGTCGACTTGGTGTGTGCCAGAGCCACATATGTAGAGAGTTTGGTCATTCGTTGGGAGGTATAGGAGACAAATGAGGAGGCGTCATTGGCCGAAAGCGGGCTGGGCGTGTTCCAGGGCGTCTTCAGAAATTCGAATGTGACCAACCAGAAGCCGGAAATAATACCCTGGCAATGGTCGCGAGAAACAAACCTGATAACTGCATTAGAGTAACTCTCGATGACTGAAAATATGGTACACGTGATGTTTCAATCACGCTCATCCAAAATGATGGTGGAAGAGTGCGACTAGCGGAACGATCGACATAATCCGTACGCCAAGCGCCGAGGGCCGGGAATCTGCCGTCCGAGCGGTCACAATCTGTCCGAGCAAAACAGAGTTGAGCGGCGCATTCGTTTCTTACATCTGTCTACATGATCATGATCAAAACAACACGTGCACCCTATTTTCAACCACAAAGAGTTACTAAACTTCACTCTTACGCGCTCATTAAAACCATTTACGAACATAGGCCTTTGATCAGAACGGTTTCTCGCTACCACCGCTCGGGGATTCTTTTCGGCTTCTGGTTGGTCAAGAGAGCATGCCAAGCCCTCTTTCCGAATCTGGTGCACGCCCTGGCTCTGCCCGCGCCTCCCATTGGCCAAACTCTCTAGATATACGGCTCTGGTGTGTACCACCTGGAGTCATTGTTGTGTCTCATGATCTCGGACCATCTGCCGGATCTCCGAGTTCAGTTCCCGTGCCGTCAATGCTTGTACGGGGTCAGCAAAGAAACCATGTTTGCGTTATTGGGGCTGATTTAAGCGTCTTTTCCAGCGGGTTTGTAGTCCTGTGAGGTGGGTGTATCGGAACACCCTACTGGCCTAACGGCAGGTGTCCGTGTGTCGACGCCGTCCGTTCAACATAATTTTGTTGTTCGCTTCCCGAGCCTCAAAAGAGGACCGGCCCAGGTCACCCTGCACGGCTTCATTTGGTGCACTCCCGTGGCAGCCAAGCGCCTGGCGGCCAACCTCTCTTTGCCCTGAGCTTGGACATCTCCTGGGGCGCATACCACAGCGTTAGCAAAAGTTCATCCAGGCACCACCACCACCTTTCACACACCCCTAGACACAATGAACCTATTGCAACTCCAGAGGCTGCGTTTTCTGAGAATGATGGCTCCTCGAGTGGCTGCTTGGCGAAGGTGAGCGTGGTGCTCTTTCAAGTAGTCGTCTGCGTTTGACAGGATGGTGCCCAAGTATTTGTACTCGCTGAGGACTGGCATATGTGGTCTTCACATGGTCTAAGGTCGCCCAGTGTTATGTTCGAGAAACCTGCGAGTACTACTCCTGCCGACTTGTTGACATTGAATTGCAAACCAAGCCCCGCTGCTTCTTCTACGCAGATGTCTAATAAAAGCTGCATGTCGTTCACTGATTCTGCTGTAAGCACTATGTCGTCTGCATATGTCAATCCCGGCCTTATCCAGTCGAGTTTTTCCCCCAGCTCCCAGGTGGACCAACGAAAAGCCCAGCCCGCACCGGACGAGTTCCTTCTCTAGCCGAGCTGCATGCAACATGTACAAAAGCGGAAATAATTGGCATCCCTGACGGAGACTTTTCGTTACCAGGACCTCCTCAGGGTTGGTTCCATCCAGCCATGTCTTAATCGTGTTGCCATTGCACGGACGGTGGATGAGGGCGACCCACTCTGGTCGCACGTTCAGCTCTTTGAGTTGGCCGAGGAGCTGGTCATGTGGCACGTTGTCGTAGGCTTTCGCGATGTCCAGAAAACAACATATTAAATTCCTTTCCCCTTTTCGGACTACCTCGATAGAGTGCGTTAAAGGGATACTGAACCGAAATTAAGAGCTCACAAAACAAGGCTGGATAAATAGGAGTCTGCAAAACCCAACAACATCACTCATACAGCGATATCTCTAACGGATCGCCGTATTTTTGGAAAAGAAGTGCGCGATTCAACACGGCCGATGAGGCCGACGAGACAAGGCACGTGACGATTCCCATTCCCTCTTCTCCTCGCTACGTCCCGTCGAGCCAACACCTCCTAGAAATAAGGCCGTAGCGCTCCGAGTGGTTACGTCACAATGTCGGAGGAAGGAAGGCCATGGCGCAACTACGTGAAAAAATTTCTGCTAACGACGTGAAAAAAAATTTCTTCTCGAGCGGCGCGGTGGAGTTCGTGCGCGATTATCCGACATTATTATACGTTTTATAAGCGCGGTCTTGCACAATGTATTATATATATATATATAATATAAACGTAATATAGAACGCGTTATCAAGGTTGAAAGTACCAAATTTATATTTATGATTATCCCCGTAACCGCGGGACTACGCGCGTTCCTGCAGCTCCCCACACTTTTCGAATGAACCGGCTCCGAATTTCCGACGCGACATCTTTTTCCCTCATACGGGCTCCGATTCTGGTAAGTTTACGTTGTGTGTGAGCTGCTGCTTGCCTGAAAGGGAACGCTGAGACATTTCAGGACGGAAGGGAACCGGAAAAAAAATCCAGTCATCGCCGCAGGGAGCGCACACGAGCAAGAGATGGGTCGACAATGTTAAGCCTCTCCTCCCACACTGCTGCCACTGCTCTCGTGTGTGTGTGTGTGTGTGTGGTTCTTTTGATCCTCCTACCCGTCGTTTTTTTGTCGTCACCGCAGTCTCGGGTAGTTTTTTTTGTGTTCGCTTGATACTACAGCATTTACATGGATTCGTGAAACAAGTCCTGCTACGGTTTGAGTGACGTGTGTGGCAACTAGTCAACGATGGCTCTGGTCGATGACCTCTCTCTCGACAGAGAGAGACTTCTTGAAGTTCGTGTTCAAATGTTTTCGTGATGGATTTCGTGGGACGTATGGATGCGATCGACTGGTGAGAAACATTTTATTTACGGGCTTTCTTGGTCATGTAAGACGCAAGTGAAGTGCTGCAGTCGATTTTTTTTTTTAAGTCGCGTGATAGAATGGAATTTTGTTCTTCGTCGTTATCCGTTTGCTATTGCGTCGACATTTGTAAATATGCGGGGTAATATTCTAGTTTTTACTGGAAGGTAAATAACAAGTTTCTGTGATTATTGAAAGTGCGTTGTTTGTGCTAATGTGTTTATTTATACTAATGTTATTTTATTGCCTTTGCCGCGTTTATACTAGAATCTTAACTTATTAAGGTAATAGTATTATTGTATGCAAAATTGGTTATATTTTGTTCTTAAGCAGCTCGAGCCCACAGGGAGAAGTAAATTAGTTGACTGTAAATAGTAAGTTTAGTATCCCTGCCACGCGGAAAAGTTAATATATTTTGATTAAATGATACGGGATCTGATCAGCTCGCTGTTTTGAGTGATTATACGAGCGTCGCAAGCTGATTTGTCAACCCCAAATTGTCATTCGATCGAAAATACATTAATTTGAATTCAGTGAATGTACGCGATAACATCGCTTGCATGATCGTAAGTGACATTTGTCGAGGCGTGTCCGCGTTGGCTACTTCTACCTGATTTTTAACTGATCTGTATTGCTCTTCCCAATCACTGCGTGTTTCACCATTTTGTCGAAGTATTTCTGTATAAAATATGCATTCCTACAGCAATAATTGCGTGACTCAATGTTTTCGACTTAAAACAATCACATTTTTCTATAGACGCCTTCTACGCAAACCTCGTGCCATTTCGTACCGATTATTTAGCGGTGTAATGTTTTGCCCGCGTAATAAAGTGTTTCTTAGACCCGTTGCTATGTGCAGCTTTCATTCTAGCTAATAAGACACGCGTATGTGACGAAAAGTACGTTACGACGGTCGATCCACGCGCGTTGCCTTCGCTTCGACGCGCGCCCCCGATCGCCTTCCTTTGCGACGTCACGAGAAAAGCGCTACGGCCTTATTTCAAGGAGGTGTTTGTCGAGCTGGTGAAGTGAAGCGAGGAAGAGAGAAGCGAGACCGCTTCCCCTCATTCTCGAATTATCCTGGAGGACAATGACGTCAAAGACATGGTTGAAAAAACCCCGAGACTGCGGGTAAACGACACAACACTAAAAAGTCTCTATTAAAAAAAACGCAGCACCACCGCGCATCGAACGCGCGACCACATGCGTACAAATCGGACGCCTTAACCGCTATGCTACGCCACCGTGTTGTGTCGTTTACCCGCAGTCTCGGGGTTTTTTCAACCATGTGCAATGTACACCAGCTCGTTTGCGCCCTTACTTTTACGTCAAAGACCTCGCTTGATCGCGCCCTTCTCTTTCAAAAGTGCAGCCATCCGTCTGAGATATCGATGTATGGGTGATGTTTTGGAGTTTGTAGCGTCCCGTTGAACGTTTCTGTGGCCTTACTTTGCGAAATCCAAATTTCGGTTCAGTACCTTTTTAAAGTAATGTGGTGATCTTCCAACCTGCGGTTCCGTCGAAATCCCCTTTCCGCCCATGCCGTCATGCGCTGATCAATGGATGGATGGATGAACCTTTGGACCTAGCCTTTCGAGAGACGAGCGCCGTCTGGGGAGATGTCTGCGAACTACAAATGAAGAGCAGTCCAACTTGCCTCCGCCCGTCAAAACACATTGGCGCCGTACCGTTGTATCGGATTTTGATGCTTTTTTATGCTCCATACTGCCGATACGTAAAGAAACATAAAAACGAAATACGTGCAAAGACGTAGGTGCTGAATGTATGTTGATCGTGCGGAATGGGTTCTCTGCGAAAACTGCTACAGCGAGAAGCAATTCCAGGGGAGGTTCCCAGGGAGGTTGCATTAACAGCTGTGGTTGTGAAACTGAAACAGCAGAAATTATACTCACAGTTTTGACCAGTGCGTTTGAATAACTCGGCGATTGTTGGGTAGAAGTTTGTAAACAGGTAACCGTTGAAACCGAAAGCCGCCATTTTGTCAATAACGCACTGCAATAGAAAGCAAGTAGATTTCAAATCAAGGCCTCTACCCGTGAATATGTTTAGAGCCACTTCTAAGCGTTTCTGTCTATTGTGATAAAATGTCTTTTTTCTAAAAAAAAAAATAACAAAAACAAAATCTTATTTTTTGCGATAACGAATCACTTTCTTGTTTTCCCCCTTCCCCCCCCCCCCCCCCCCCCAAAAAAAAAGGGAGGGGGGAGGGAGGGGAGGTAGAGGAAAAAGCTGCTCTGGGGACCTCCACCTCCCCTTACGGTTCAGCTTTGGAAGAGGACAGCATATAAATTAAATATCAAAGTTACAAATTATTAAATACCTTGTACAACATTAGATATATCAAGAACAATACAGAACTAATCTACTGAAGACGTTATATATATTGAGATGGAGAACCTTGGGTGAAACAGCAACAACAGACGGGTTTATTTGTACGTTTCGGCCGGAGTCCGGCCTTCGTCATTCCTGACAAAGGCGACATTCCTGACGAAGGATGGATTCCAGCAGGTCAAGGATAAAAGCGGACCATTTTTGTCAGTGTCTTCACTCTGGCAGAAATGGTCCGTTTTTGTCTTTGAAATCACCCCAGCAAAGAAGCTTCTGAGTCAGTGTCCTGGTGTGTGACTTTATAGTGAGTATGCTTATGCGAAGTGAGAATTATTGCAGCCCAGTATCGTCGCACAGCCCTCTCCTTCAGATACATCCATTAAATTTCCGCGAGATTGTGGTTGGAGAGGGCATAATATTCATATTCACTGCGTATTGAACGCCAAACTCTCATAGACATTCGCGTGCCTAGGTTAATGCATAATCCCTGTTCTGTAAAATAATAATAATAATAATACACGTCGTTCGCCTTTAGGGGAAAAAAAAGACGAAATATTTTTCAAGATATCCTCACCGCGGCAAAATCAGAGGCTGCGAAAGCCCGTTTAGGCGTCTCTTTCAAATCGAAAAACTACCGATGCACTGCGGAACGTACGGGCGTATGCACCTGCCACATGCAGCGTCACGCTTGTTGTCCTGATATCGCTAGCCCGCGCTCCGCGCAAGCCTTCAGACGTCTGCCATTTTGGTCTTTCATGTAGCGCTCCAAGCGGTGCGCGTCGACAAACACAATTGAAAACCATGGATGGATGGATCTGGCTAAACCCTGTGAATCGGGCGGTGGCTTGCGCCACCTAGCCAACATTATAAATCTAATTATATGTTTTGAATTCCAAGATTAAATCTCACCCCTGCCTCGATTTTAGCCACCAGTCTGATAACCTCCGCTTGGTTATTTCTACCCGTGTAAAGTCTATTTTTCCTTCACTGTCTTTAAAACCCAATGCTTTGATTAAATCCGCCCGGTCACTGTTAACTGTTGGGTGAAGCCCTTTACAGAAAAGTATTAAGTGTTCAGCCGTTTCCTCCTGCTCCCCACACACACTAGATAAAGTGTCCATCTCCTGGTACTTAACCCGGTACGTCTTAGTCCGCAATACTCCTGTGCTGGCCTCAAACAACAAAGAGCTTCCCCTAGAATTATCGTAGATATTTTCTTTGCAAATTTCCTGTTTGAACATTCTGTACGTCTCCAGTGCTGGTTTTGTCTGCATACCCGTTTCCCACAGACCCTTCTCTGTTTCTTTTATCCTTTTCTTAACCCGTAATTCCTGGTTGGCGCCCCCACTGCCGCCCAAATATTTGCTTGATAATTTTCTAGTTCGCTTTCTCCATTTGGTATCTACATTCCTCATGTACAAATAACTGAAAACTTTCCTAGCCCACTGCTCTTCCTCCATTTCCCTCAAACGCTCCTCAAATTCTATCTTGCTGCTAGCTTCCCTGCCCTCGAATGACGTCCATCCCATGTCGCCTTGTACCCCCTGATTCCTGGGCAGGGGGCGCCATCTGTGTTTGTTATCACGAAACAGTCACTTGTCATAACTCAATGGGGAAAGTTTGATGTCCTCCCGTTGGTGACGATGGTTCTGATGGTAACTGGGAAGACGATGAGGAAAGATGCTGCGCGGCAGGCTCGGGGTGTCGGAGGGGAGCGGTAGCCTAGAAGTCCTGAGCTCCCCCTGAACTCCCCCTGGGACACGTAGTCCAAGAGAGTTCTCAGAATCCTGGCCCCCCTCCTCTCCGCGTCTCCGGTGTATATCTTGCCTCTTCAGCACAAATTATTTGTTCTTAAAAAAGGGGTGAAAAAGTTTTGCGGGCCTGTTTTTTGTTCTTGTTTATATGCATGCATACATATGCATGTGTAAATTTATTTTATGCCTTCTTGGCTCTAGCCTCGATGGCCCCCATCGTGGCTAGAACGGAGAAGGTTGTAACCTGTCAAACTGCGATCATGCAGCTTTTGTTTTACGACCTTGTCACATGTGTACAGTTTGTGGCAAAATAAAGTAATTTGATTTGGTTTGATTTGCTTTGACTGCTTCTTGCGCTTACTGTGAGATGGCGCCACAAGTTAGAACCATCGCTAACTTAGTCGTCTGCGAACACGTCCGCCGTTGACCCTGGCAGGAATTGACGGTCTCAGTTTTCGTAGAAAGAGAGCTACGCCCTTGGAAGTTTTCCAGATTAAATGTACATATTCGGTGAATGCTTGAGTTTTCTATCTGCAGGCACTGATTTTATTCTTTTTTTTTTCTTCTAATTTTACAGTGCCAAGGTTCACTGTTCACACCCCATAAACGAGCAAAATATTCGCATCTCAATTTTTGTCATTTGAAGAAGTGGTCATTTGGATGCGGAAAATAGCTACTCTATTGCCGGCATTTTCTGTTTAAGCAGCAGAAACAATTATCATTGTGGCAAATTGTAGGGCTTAGGGTATTGGACAAACATACCCTGGAGGCCCACGTAAGTACAAGTGACGCTTTAAAACTAAACAGCTATTTTAGTGGCGTAGACAGTTAGCAGAGAGCTTTAAGAGAAGGTTTCCCTGTGCGCAGAAGTTCTGCGAAGGCAGACAAGTTGTGTGCCTGTGCAGCGCAACACCGTAAGCGAGGGACCCAAAATGTGGCCCTCTATGCTAAAACTATGTCTTTCAGAAAACGTTGAACTCACCATCACCAGCGACGACAGGCCCTGCGAAGTAAAACGAAATAAACATATGTATATACAAACTTCCTTTTTTTATTATTTTGTATAAAGCTGGTTGTTGCAAAGTTTTTACACCTCGTGCCATTTTTTTTTTCTTCTAATCCTCTCCATATCCTTGGACCGACACTTCATGTTTCGTGAGGCACAGTTTTTGGTTTCCTGTAATACTTTACGTCACCCTCGCTTTCAAGAAAGCGAGGTAAATTTATGTAGCTCCTGAGATATTCATGAAACAAGAATGCTGATTTTAATTGCCTTTAAACTCAACCCCTATGCGGTGCTGGTGTAAATATAAACAGAGAGATAACAAAGACAACGATAAAAATGTTAGTTGTTCATTAAATTTTATAGAAGCATTTTCCTGGAATTTTGAATTTTTAACTTTATCATAACAAATATTTGCCTTGGACATCGGACAAAAAAGCTTCCAATAGAAAGCTTGAAGGTCCGGCGGCCCTGCACATGGAGAACACAATAAAATAAAACAAGAGCACTATCACCTAAACAAGATAAGCATACACTGCTTTTAATTAAACAATGAATATCAAAGTGGTCGGAAACGAAGTTTTTAAGCAATGTGGGCAAATTATGAACAATGAATTGAAGTGCAAAATTAGTATGAAAATGGGAAACGGTCCAGACTTCCTTGCATCAGATTCTGATTATAGATTCGCGTTTAGTCAAGATTGAAATACGAGACGAAAAACAAATTCACTCCACACTTGAAAATAAACGCAAACATAATAAACAATCTATTGACACTGCCTGCTTTTTTTGTGTGATATTGTGACTAAGGAAGAATGTTCCCGCACAAGACTCGTATTTGATATTAGATGTTGAATAGGCTCCATATGTGCATTGAGTTTCTGTTCAACTTAAAAACCAATAAGAAACACCAAAGGACTTAGGATCTTTGCCCCCATTACTCTGTTCCTTCTTTAAAAAAATAAACTTTTTTTTTTTTTTTTGCAGAAGCAATAAAGACATTACGGAGCTGAATGTATTGGATGCAAAAAATAAAAAAATATATATACCGCCTCAGAGCTTATGCTGACGTGAAAAAAACCGTTTTAGGTTGTTATAAACTGCGCAGTTCTAATTCCCATTAAAAAAAAAAAAATTTCAGGAACGCAATAAAAACAACCGAAGCGAAAACACTTACCGCCGCTGACACGTCGCATAGGTCCCGACCAACGTCATGGAAGCACTAATAAAGATAAAGAGAGACACGTAGATTTAAAAAAAAAAAAAAAAAAAAAACTCAGCACTCGCTATGATTCGCATATCTGGAGAGATAGTAAAATATACGTTGTCATATAATAAAGAATAATTCTTCAACAAATAAAACAATCCCGACTGGTCACGCTCTACGTTTCTTAAGCTGGAAATAAATAATAAAACGAAAACAGAATGAGTCACCAAAGATGATATGCAGTAGATATATTACATGGCAGTGAACTCACCGAGTCGATTCCATAGGCGTTGGGAAGAGTCATATTTACGCAGCATCCTGCGAGGAAATGACGAGTTTGACGTCTCGGCCGGGATGATATGGCAGGGTGAAGTTAAGATGATGTTTTCATCACGCAACACAAAGTGCCTTAAGTGACTGAAATATATAGACGCTTTACACACGCGCCAAATTACAGCCGCCATTGCTGACCTTCTCTTGTCTTACCGAGATGCCGAGAAACTGAAACGGTATTTGGCGATCCTCTACAAAGGCCGATGCTTTAGAAAAGGACACAGTTGAATCTAATATGGCAATAACCTGGCCTGCTATGGTAATGATGAAGTGAAATAAACGGAATAAGTGGAAACAGAAACTGAACGTCAGGTATGGCGGCGTCCATGCACAGCTGCTGCAAAGCGTCTATATATATATATATATATATTATCGATGAAAGCACTAGAAGCGGATCGCAAAGCAATACGATACAAATTTCACAAACAGCCAGGTTTGAGACACACCTGATATCGGCCCCATTTGAACTTGCAGATTCATTTCGAAATATTTAACACTGAAGTGTGCAATAACGAAAAGTGTTTTCAGAGTTAAACTGCCAATAATAAAATAGCGTAATATAATTGCTCGCGTAGCCAACATGATAGATGGCTTGTGGTCAACTGCCATTTCTTAAATATTTTCTTGCTTTCTTTCTTCTCACCTGATTGATCTCGAATATTTATAGAAAGTTTATATAAGCATTCGCCCTGATTTCATCTAAAGTATATATAAAAAAAATCGACACGCTTTTCACAAACGAGTCATCTTTTGCCCTCACCGGGTATGGGGACTGCCTGTGAGCAGAAAACAGATTCCTGCAATGCAGTTTTTATCACTATTATCGTCGCAGTGTATGGCATCTGTGCCAAACTATAATGGCGGCCTTTTTGAGGCTAATGAAGGAAGGAGTTGAAGATACTTCCAAATGGAGGGTATATGAGGCCTCCACGTCCGAGACGTCAGTAAAACATGACGCACGACTTAGATACAAGGTGTGCGTAAGCGTTTGTTTTGGAGTGGACCAATCAACCGCTTGGCACGAGTTAGGCTATAAAGCCATACATGTGCCAAGCGATTGATTGGCATAAGTTTGTGGCGAAAATTTAATCGAGGGTCTTGTGGGTCACCGCTTTCTACTGGTCAGTTCCTATGTTCACACCATCGAAACTGAAACAAACGAAGAATCACGAGGTGATCGAAGATCATTACCTGCCATTTACATTCGAAGGTTACGGTGCTCGGTAAAATACGCTTTCATGACCGCCATTAGTTTGAGGATAGTGAAACAGAGTTTTTAACCACCAGATGGCGCTGAATTTCGTAAAACGGGGTCTATTTGTGTTTGTCCCTGTTCACTCTGAATCTTTGTAAGATCGATATTTAGGAAAACACTATGCTTATTTAAACTGGAAAACTGGGCAGTGTCCCACTCTGAAGCCGGGCAACAGAGCAAACATTATGACTCTCCAATGGCGTGGCTCTTTACCTTTTTGGTTTTGTTGCTCCGCTCGGACAAAGGCGTTGATTATTCTCATAATTCCCGGAAGACGCAGAAGCCCTGTAAGCAAGCCGGAAATTGTAAATAGTACTTACGAAAGCTTTTCGCGTATTTAAGAGTCTGGCTCAAATGACTGACACCTTAAGGAACATAAGGCGTGGCGATCACCGCTGAGCATCTTACTATTGATCCGCAGCCAGTAGGCTTCTGGCATTAGTCGATAAGAACAAAAGAGAGCCATCACGAAGCAAGGAGCGAGAGTACGTAAAGCTACTCCCTGCGGTTTTTAAACAGTGAGTGAATATAAGTACCAGAGGTGATGATATATCATACAAAGACAGTCTGCGAACCGCGATATCCGTGGTTCCAATGCCGCGTGCCAAGTTTTCTTCTTGAACTCATTGCCACGCGGCATTCGAAGCGCGGATCTCGCGGAGACTCGTGTTCGAATCTGTATGCAGACTGCATTTTGTACAATGTATAAGCAGTGTGACCCCGGCTTAAGAGTTAAGACTGTATGTTGCTAGGGGTCCATACCTTGGTCCCGTTCCACTCCATGCATGTAACGGCTGACGGCTCGGTAGATAGCATACGCACGAACCAGCGCTGTAGGAAAACCGGGAATTGAAAAAAATTCTCCTTGACTTTTGTGCATATTCTAGAGTTTTTAATTATATCAGCATAACGAACATAACTATTTTGACGAGAAGTATACACATACGGCAAAACAGGTATGGCCCCACACACACACACACACCAAAGAACGTCGCGAGTTGAAACTGAAACATTTCAAATCCTGCTGTAAACAACATTGCCTTTGTGACCTTTCGAACATTTGTTTCTAACATAAAGGCCCGCTCACACACTTGCGTTTGCTTCGACCGAGTTCTTGCCTTTCTTAAGACGGGAAACCACACTGGCACGCTGGCGCCATCTATGAGGTGACCCTGGAACTGCATTTTCATAAAGCGAATGTTTTCGTTTTAATTTTTTTGCAGTAGTTGAGAGGTCAAATGTACTTCCTAGAAATGGCCGTTTACAACATTGTCAACAATTTCTCAGGCAAAAAAAGAAACGTAATGCACGAAACGAAAATAGAAAAGTAGGGAAATGCCAAGGGTTCCATGGCCAGCTGATAGATGACGTGTGTTCTCTCGCCGAAAGAGGTCCCCAGAGGTTGTAACTTGTAAGCCACTTGGTCGAAATGTCTCACGTGTGTAAACCAGCCTTAACGGGTAACTTAAAAAAAAAGTCTACCAGAAGCTCCAGAGTACTTGTCAGCTAAGTTTAGGTAAGAAATCTTATGCAATCTTGTACGCAGCAAGGACGATGACAAAAGAAGAGAACAGGACACAACAAGGTGCGCCTTGTTGTGTCCTGTTCTCTTCTTTTGTCCTCGTCTTTGCTGCGCACAAGACTATATAAGATGTCAAACCAACTCGCCCAAACACACACTCTTCTTGTAAGAAATCTAGCCCACCAAAAATTATAGCTTTTTTTTTTTCTAGTTCTTCAAAACGCCGCTTTAATCACCCCCGTGCTTTGCTTGAGCATAGACGATTATGCGGGACACATTGTTGTTAGCGTACAATAACTTGTCTTCTTAATTTTGCGCTATCACCACCATATTTATCGCAGTTATGCTTTAGATTATATAAAATGCAACTATTGTGGTTTGGTTAGAATGTATATTTTTATATTTATGCAAAATTTCAAAAACTTTGATAGCCCTTAAAAAAATTAGATTTTCAATTAGTTTAGGAAAAAATGGGTCTCGCACACATTATTTTTCTTCTTCATTTCACTCAGTGGTATAAAAGGAGCGAATCAGTTTATTTTAGTCGGCTATTTTAAGTGTGTTTCCATGCCCCCCGTGTGCGCGAGAATGTTTTTTTTTTTTTTTGCATGTGCATAGCGCCAAGAACATACAAATTAAGGCATGTCAAAACTAACACCAGATTTATAAAAAAAGGAGGTCCAATACTATAAACTGTGAAAATTCCACTCAGTTATCGCAAAATAATAAAAAAAAAACACGACGCCCAGCAGCCAATGGGAGCCTACTCATCAAATCGCTACCACAGACTACAGGCTTCGCTCCATTGGGACAGGGGAATTTAGGAGCCGTTTGGCGCGCGACTTCAAAAGTCGATAACACCGGTTCGCTCCATAAGACAGCTGATGCTTTCGCATTAAAAAAAAAAAATGGTTCCTCTAGCTGGCGCATGCTCCGTTTTAAGGGTATATGTTGCTAGGAGTCCATACCTCGGTATCGCTCCACTTGGTGCACGTTAAGGCCGGCGGCTTGGGGGTTACCAAACGGACCAACCAGCGCTGTAGACAAACCGTAAATTAAAAAAAAAAAAAAAAAAAATTCTTAATATTTTTTATATTTTAGAATTTGTATTTACATCAGCATAACAAAAACAAATTAACACTTTGATGAGAATTTACAAACGTGTAGCAAAACAGACATGCAAAAAAAAACGTTGTGAATTGAAACTGAAACATTTCAAATCCTGCTGTAAACAACACTGCCTTTTTGACCTTTGGGCATTTTTCTAACGTAAAGGGATGCTGAACCGGAATCTGGATTCCACAAAACACGGCGGCAAAAGCGTGCAACGGGATTCCACAAACATCAAAACATCACTCATACAACGATATATCGAACGGATGACTGTATTTAAAAAAAAAAAAAAAATGGAGGCGCATTTGACAGGTATGTTTACGTCTTGTTTCCCTTTGAACTGTCGAGAAGGAGAGAGAAGGGCCTCGCGTCTTCTCCGCCTCGCCGCCTTGACGGAGCAAAACGAAGAGAGGAGGAAACGAGATATCTTGACGTCACGCGCCTCGTCGGCCTCGTTGAATCTCTACTTTTTTTCTATTTTTTTTTTTTCTTTTCCAAGATAGCGGTTGTTGATTCTAGATATCATCGCCTTACGAGTAGTGTTGTAGGGATTGTAGCGTCCCGCCTACAGCTCCTGCATTGTTTTCTGAAATTCAAATTTCGGTTCACTATCCTTTTATTTCACACACTTGCGTTTCCTTCGACGGAATTTTTCTAATCTCTTACCAGGAGAGAACACACTGGTATGCTGGCGCCGTCCATGAGGTTACCCTAAAACGGCATTTGCTTAGAGCGATTTTTTTTTTTTTTTTTTGTATTTGAGAGATTAAATTAACGAGAAACGGTCGCTTATAACATTGTGAAAAGCATTTCAGGCGAAAGAAATTAATGCGAGAAAAAATAGGAAAGTCCGGAAAGGCCAAGTGTTCCACGGCCACCGAATAGATGGCGTGAGTGTGTTCTCTCGTCTAGAGTCCAATTAGCCTCGATGGTGACATCACGTTCATGACTTCAGTGTTCGCTCGACACTACCAGCATTTTAGAAGGTTCGCCGTGACGTCATCACGTGAGCATCGTGATGAGGTCACGTAGCATTATGAAGGAACATGACGCTGCGACGCCATGGTATCACTCGATGTGACCAGCCGTACCCTCGCGTATAATGATTTTTGGGAAGAAGTCCCCAAGGTGGGGACGATTTATGCAAGAATCAGTTGATTTCCGCTTAAAATGGAGCGAAAATCTCTAGGCACCCGCCGACTGGTGGCCCCTAAAAAAAACAAAAAAAAAAAAAGAACATCCGGTTCGAAAATTTAATTCCGGGACGTCTCCGTGACTAGCGGAGCGCTCTGCCAACTGAGCCAACCAGGAGTTAGATAGTCGGCAGAGCAAACCACTGTTAACGTTTTCCACCAATCTCGATGGTAAACCCTACAAGGGTGAGATCGGGCGCGTTAACGTTTAGATATACCGATTTTTGTAAACTTCATGTCTCGTGGTCACGTGACGTCAGTGTCGTATGACGTCACAGTGTCATGTGGCGGCTTAAGACCACGTGGACACACGACGTAACTTCACGGGAAATTCCGTGACGTCAGGTGACATCCGTTTCCCCCCTTTCCCCAAAAAAAACGTCCATATTATGAGGTGTCCGTGATAACGAGACAAAAGTTCACGTATTAATCCAGTTCCTTCCCAAAACCGTTGTCTATTTACGGCGTATTATTGGAGTCTGTAATAACGAGACATTAGTCGTATAAATGTATGCAGTTAGAGTCAATCTTGGATATACCGAAGAGACTGGCAGTTTTTACCTTGGTGTCGCCTCTGGGCCTGGACAGCGTGGTTCTTCCTTCCAGCTTGCCGAGGGCCTTGCCCTGGCAAGCGGGGGCCTTGTGAATCCACGTGGCTCGGTTTGGGATTGTCGTGAACTATATAAGGAAATAATCATATGCAATCACTCGTGACACCATTGTTTCAAGATGAAATGTAATAACATAAAAATGTAACCTCAGAAGGAAGTAGGTGGATGCTGTGGTATGCAGGATTATCTTTAAAAAGTCGAAGCACATCAGCAGAAAGCACGCTGTATCCACAAGGTACTACTCTAATTTTTGTTGGCAGCTTTCAAACTGCATTTGGCACATCGTGCTCATGTCACCTTATGTTCCCAAGAAAAAAACAAAAATCAGTCGAGCAGGACAGAAAGATTAGAGCATCCATGTTTGTCTTGTCATCGTTGATGTTGTTTCTGATTTGCAAAATAATGAGTGTAATTAAAAGCTAGCACCTGCAAAATGCTCCGTGAACATGACGAGCTCTATCGCCTAAGCACTAGCTGATCAAAGTGAAAACATATTTTGTGGCCCCTTCAAATCTCCCAATTGTTTTTCTAGATGTAAAGTGTTTTCAAGTGGGACTGTCTCCTGTTTGTTGGGTTTTCAGTGAAAATAAAAATTTTCTGGTGAATTTGTTTTCTACAGGGTCCTTGCAAGTGGTGGCCACATTTTAGACAGTAAGAACATTTCCTATTTTAATGAAAATTAAAAAAAAACTATTAGCGAAAAAATGTTTCAAGTGTATGCAAACTGGTGCGTATTAATCATGACGTGAAAATCCTGAGGCTGGGAACGAAACTTGAGGATAAATTAGAAGGGACAGAAGACAGACACAACTAAATATTTAAAAACTGGCATACACACACAGATCGTCTTCAACTTATCACTGCTCAGTGCTTTGTGTACATTCACTTCTGCAGTTTCGTATCTTTAGCGCATTATGGGTGCTTTTATCCATTTTTACTCAGGTTTGCGGGTGCTTTTGTCTGCTGTTGGTGTGTTTTTCTGGAGACCTCTTGTACGGGCTCTTTCAACACGGTTTTATTTTTCGTTTGTGTTGGCTGGCAAATTGATGAGCTGTTTTTGCTTTTATGTTGCATATAATTTGTTTATTTTTTCTTTGTATTCACGACAGTCTGCTTTCTTTGTGTGTTTTTGTTCTGAGCTCGTACTGGAGGGTCTGTCGAGATTATTTTGGGAATTTTCCCATACACGTTCATAATAAAGTGTTGGCAATGTAACACATTCTAAAAACAAATGTAGTAAAAGTACCACCTGCCTTTACCTTAACATTTAGGAGTAGCTGCTATAGCATTAGCATCATCCGAAGACTATGTGTATATTGCACTTTAGTGTTCGCTATTTACTAAAACTCCCATCCTACTTCGAAATAATTCTTTCAAAATATGGTATGTTAGTGGAGTGCAAAGCCAATAATTAAAACATCCAACTCTACACATTGCCATAAAATATCGACCGCAGTTTTTTGTGGTTTTTTTTTTTTTTTTTTTGCTATTCAATAGTCATTGTTTTTGCCTCCCAGGATTTTAATGGATGAACATATTTAAATGAATTACGCGCTGTCTTGTCCGCTAGTTCCATGTCGTCTCTTCTAGGCTTTGCCTTCCTTCCAAAGTGTTCTCCGCGCAGGTGGCGCTGCCTTCCGCCAGTAGGCGACACTACAGCATGGTCTCATGACAGCAGGGTAGTGCCTATTCGCAACTCCAACGCCCTATAGGTGGCGGGGCGGTAGTTCCAAGATGGCGGAAGAGACGGGGATAGATTCTCCAGGATATCCCGTGCGCCTGCTCGCGCTGACGCTGTTCAGCGCGCTAAAAATTATTTATTTGTCTACAAATGCGAACCGTTTAGGGAGGGGTCATATTACAGGTGACGGAGACGCTGATGCACGTTGGGAAAACGAGCATGCTGATATTTAAAAGTTGCAGAAACCTCAAATTGCGAAGCTTTGTTGTGGGTGAGCGCGTTTTAGGCACCGGCCACGTTACTGTTTGTGGCGGAATAATTTTGAGGGTGATGAAGATATGTTTGCGGCTTTGCCTGGCCATTAGTTCTCTAAAAAGAGAGCCGCGAACGGTGACCGTCAAGCTTCGGAAGAGCAGCGTTCAAAGCTGTTGTGAGGCTGTGACTTCGCGTCACAGCCTCACAACTCGCTGCTCGCCGTCTCGGTTTTAGTGTATTGCAACACGTAATGGTTATTGATAGAAAGTTTGTTACCGCATGCTACCGTGCGGTGTAGCCTTAAAACCGCGAGCTCGCGCTGCGCCTTTGAAGCACAAATTTCAATGCGCGCCAGGAGCGTTGCCGTGCTCATATCACTCTAAAAAAAAAAAAAAGAAATAATGTAGTTCTTACACCCCTTGTCACGTATACGACGCTCCAAAACTTCAGTTCGCCGTGCAGCCCACTGACGTCGAACTGAAGGTAGGGTGTACTGACGGCCCCAACTTTTACGAAAGGCTTGATGGCGGCGCAGTACAAGATATTAAACAGCTAAAGTACGCGTCAAAGAGTACCGGAAAAAACACGCACGCACACACACACACAAAAAAAAACAAGGTTTTGCAGTAGGGCCCAGAAAACCCCGATTATTATTATTATTATTTCTTTTTTTTTTTACAGTCATTTACGCTTACTTAGGCTATTTTAAAAAGTTGCACAACTCGGCTATCAAGCCGCTCGTGAAAGTTGGCAGCGCTGGTTGAACGTCAGTTTGCTGTACGTCCAACCGAAGTTTAGGGGTGTCGTACGCTATGCAAAAACTACCTATTAATATACTCGGCGTGTTTAGGGGTTTTATTTATTGCTCTATTAAAATACATATTTTAATATACCGTACATTTGTTGTACCGTGTTATTTGCAACATTGCGGTCCATCTGGTCAAAACTGCGCGTTAAGCTCTCGTCACAAACGGCTGGCTAACACAGACGCGCTTAAAATGCTCCGAGCATTTCTTTTTTTGCTTTTTAATTACCGGAAAGCAAGTACAGGTATTCTGTCTTTTTAAAGTGCTTGTAATAAATGGTCATGTTCCTTGTAACGGCCTTAAAACGCGAACCCGTTCCCGATTTGTGTTGCTCAACATACCGTTGCGCGACGAGTTTTCTCCTACTTATGGCGAAGAATAGACTTTCCGCAGACCGTACTATTGAGTTCTTAATTATTAGCCGGAGCGTTTTCTATCACGTTGAGTACAGATTGAGCTGGCGGCCATGCACAATACCAGAAATCCGCAGCGAATGCAATACACGAAAAGTCCCTAATGAAATTAGACATCCCGGCCCTTCGTGCAAGGCTGTTGCAAGGCGGACCACAAGAATTCCTTTTATAACGCGCTCACTTTTTTCGTTAAAAAGGCTTCGCGCATCAACGCCGACAGCCCCTGCCACCGTTTCCATGCCGCCGCAGCCGCCGCCGTCCCCGCTCCTCTGGTTCTCCGTTCGTCCGCGGGAGGGCGAGCGGCGCGCTGGAGTTGCGAATTATGTTCCCGCTTCTTGCATCGTGATTGGTTCTTCGGTGTCCCTGTCACCTAATGTCGCAATCTGACTGACTCCCCACGCCCTGCGTTTTTCAAGCGCAGCGCAAGTTTTTCTGCTTCTTGCCCAGAGGTTGCGATGACGTCAGAACGCCGAGCTCTTATTGGCCGACTGAAAAAAAAAAAAAATAGTGGGTAGACCTTAAGGCATCTATCATTGAGGACTACCGTATAATTGAAGCCAATCAGAACTCGGGATCGTTCTGACGTCACCACAACCCCTGTGCAAGATGCAGACGACTTGCTCTCCGATAGTCAACTACTCCGCTACTGCTTGATGCGGTTATCGAATATTAAAAACAATAAATGAGCTGTGTTATTCTATAAAGTGGGGGATGGTAGGGTAAACGGGTCACTTTGGCATTAATGTTGTACCACAAAAAACTGCTGTATATTTTATTGAGAAATTTTATGTTTTTTATGGTAAACACCCTTAACATTAACTTTCTGTTGCTTCTTTTTTTTTTTGTCTTTTTTTATAATTTTAGTTACTGGATGTCAACTTTTAGGCTGAGTTCCAGTTCTTGTAATTTTCTTTTCTCAGCAACAAATTATAGGATACCCAATTAATTTTGCAAGTATCTTGCACGTGTTTATGACTTTAAACTGAACTTGAAATAAGTTTGAACATGCGGCAAGCCAGAAAAAAAATATATTGTTCTTAGTTGTTATAAGAGGGTAACTTTCTTATTTGAATTTTTTTAACATTATAATGTAGTGAATTCTATAAACTTTTATGTTCGAATTGTTGGCAAGATATTTTACTATAAGCTGTGACATTTTAGTGTAATCGGATAAGTAGTTTCTTAGTAAAGGTACTTCAAAATTAAAAAAAAAAATTGCAAAAATGTCCTTTAAAAAAACATAATCTTATGTCTTCCCATTTGTGACAAATGTTCAAAAGGCTCCAGCAGAATGCATGTCCCTTGTTGCTTTCGTTTCATCCTCCCCAGAGGCTTTCTTCGTGTCCCTCTACCTTCTGTGTCGTTCCTTACTTTCCCTACGGTAGGGCCTTCGAGGCATTAATAAATTAAATAAATTAAAATATTGGGTGTTCCAAGGAGCGACCAGGCTCTTTAAAGCGACCACAAAATTCGGTTTCTTAACTTATCGCGCTACGACTTTGTGCAACGTTGCCCACAGATGGTGCTTTTTTTTTTTTTTTTGTAAAATTTGCAAAGAGCGAACTTACCTGAGGAAAAAGTAAAGAAAGAAAAAGGCTTAGTTCCTATGGAAACGCAGCGAAGCCACTGGTTTTCAAACAATACGGCGCCGTTTACCACGGGAGACAAGAGAAGGCGCAAGCGATCGCGACGCCAACTGCCGCCAACGAACGAGCATACGGTGCCGAGAGCCGGCGTCTTTAGCAGACGATCGTTTCGACTCAAAACCGGCGCGCGTTCCGCAGGCGGCGACAGTCGCAGAACCAAAGACAGACATGGTAGTAAAAAGAAACTGCAAAGCAAACGAAATCAGTACCCCAAAAATAAATTTAAAAAAAACAGTCAAAATATTCCTACAAGCCATTTTTTAATCGATTATGTGTCCACTTAATGTTTTATTAGTAAGGATGATAAAATAATGCATTGTCCACTAATATCAAAAAAGCTCGCGCCGCTTTTGAGTCGAAAAGATCGTGTGCTGAAGACGCCGGCTCTCGGCGCCCTATGCTCGTTCGTTGGCGGCAGTTGGCGTCGCGACCACTTGCGCCATTTCTTGTCTCCCATGCTAAACGGCGCCGTATTGTTTGAAGACCGGTGGTTTCGCTGCGTTTCCATAGGAGCTAAGCCTTTTTATTTCTTTACTTTCTCCTCAAGTAAGTTCGCTCTTCGCAAATTTCACACAAAAAAAATGCACCATCTGTGGTCAACGCTGCACAAAGTCGTAGCGCGATCGGTTAGGAAACCGAATTTTGCGGTCGATTTAAAGAGCCTGGCCACTCCTTGAAACATCGAGTATTAATTAAAAAAATATAAACAAACATGTGCGTGGACCAGTTTTAAATAACAGGGGCGCGGATTTCGGCGCCATATTTAAGTGTCTTAGAGCGCTTGTTCGAGCTCGCCGCTTCCCAGTTTCGTTCCTCAGACTGCCTATAATTTTTCAGTACTAACAAACTTATTTTTTGGTTGGTTTACATGCGATTGACTTGGTCAGCCAAGCAATGAACTTACATTAGGCACATACCTAAAAAGAGTCAGCACGCGGGTTTTTACGTGTCACTGGGTGTTTTGGGTATCGAACAAGCGATTTGAATTAACAATTATCTTAAGAGGGTAGGTATAAGATTATATTACAGGGTACGGCGTAACATTAAGTGTCATTCTACGATATATGTACGGCATAAACCGATAATGGCAAGGGAAAGGTGCATGTGTTAAAAAGACATCCCTAGTGTTTGTTCGTTTGCTTTTCCCCGCTCATTTTAATTATTATACCTTCCTTCAGTATATCTCCCAACATCAGATTCGAATAACGAGACGTGACACTCACGGCTTATGGCTTCGGTCAGACAGCTCAAGCTCAGGCATAGCGCAACGGTGAACAGAAGGATCTTCATGGCCCTTGCTCTGTGGGGCGCAGTCGGTGTGTAGGAACCCTTCCAAGCTACACGCGTTAAATACTCTGCTTCGTGCTTAAGGTCATTGAGCTTGTTTTTAAACAAAGCTGATCCCATCGGGCGAACATCCGAGGCGCTACGGGAGGAAATTTATGCAGGGTTACGGAGCTGAACATCTGGAACGCTGCTTTCTCTGGAAAGCGGTATAGTGTGCCTACATTACAGGAGTGCTTGTATTCAGCTCTTCGATCAGGGTCACGTGGTTTATGGACCGCGTTTGCAACGCGTGCTGCGAGGAGGGGACCAAAAATCGTGTATCGTCTGCGTCCTATGCAAGCGCCTCCGCCTGTCTGCCTGCTTTCCTTCGCGCCACGTGACAACCAGCGCATGCGCACTAGCGACAAATCTCCATTGTTTTGAGCTGCTCCTTCTCGTTAAATTTAGGCTCTCTAGAAAGTGGGTGCTAGTCATCAAGCCCGGGGTCGGTCGACCTCGCAGTGACTTTCTGATTGAATTTTACACCCCGTTTCCTGTGTGGAACAGCAGAGAAACGTTCGCAGAACTCTCGGAATCATTTTTTTTTATTTCATCTATACTCGTTTCCACCTCAAAATCTGGGCGGCTACTGCAACTACGGCGGCTACGGCGGAAAAAAAATCTGGCTCCTTGCGGAGCATTATTAACTTCCTTTCTTATGTGGAGAATTAAATGGGCCATGTAATGAATTCTGGGCTGGGATAAATGATTTTCGATTGGGATGTCACTAATCGCACATCGATTAGTGGGCCAAAAGAAAGGGCGTATAGAAACTAAAAAGCCTGCTTTTCGGTACGAAACTTTGAAATTATAGATCACTATTTTGTACCTCCTTTCCTTCGAAAGCTCTTCGCCTTTTCACGGTGGTACATCCGCGGTACCCCAAGCACGTCAGACGACCCCAGCTCACGCATTGGACACGAGGAGTGCGTCACTCGGACGTATGCGCTCGTCAACAATCAAATATCAGTCGATGAATATTTTGATTCGTGTTTGTGGGAGCCAATGAGTGCCGTGATGGCACTTATCATCACTTGCGAATGACAACTTCCATGATGTGCTTAAAAAGCACGGTGGAATCTTGGAGTCATCACACCGGCGCCCAAGCATGTCACAACGACGTGATTTCTCAAATTGCCTTTGAGTTGAGGATTAATGCTGAGGAGAAAGAAGTTGAAAAATCATTTCATGGTTCCTTTAAGATACATTTTCGATCAGATATATACCTTATCTTCTTCAGACGTAAACGTTTCGAACGCCAAAAAACATCGCTTCTTACTCCGTCAAGCGATTCTCGTAAGAACTATTTCGCGTGGCGTAGGAACAATGCGGAAAACTTGCTTTTTTTTCTTGAGGTGAAAACTAGTATAGTTTATTATTCCCTTCAATGTCTATGAGGGGCTTTTCCACAAGGGAGCATACAGTAATTGCATGTTTTCGGCACCTGACGCAAGTAAATTAAAAGCAGGAAGGATAACGAAGAATCGAAATTATAAGGAGGAAAAGGTGGAAAGTGCTTCGTAGATTGGTTAAATTGTTAAAAAAAAAATCGGTGAGAGAGTAATTCTAAAGCTATTGATTCTAGAAATAAAATGACGCAGTTTTCAAAAGTTATATGAATTCAACTCGTTCTTCAGACGACTCTGCTCCATATCGTTCACCATACACTTTGGGGTAGTCTTCCTTGTGACAAGAGAGGAAAAATAATTGAAAATAATATTGATCCCTACGACATAAGCATGCTCAATGATGGCTCACAAACGTACCTAATAAGTATCAACTATTCCGGTTCACTTGATCTCACACTGTGCTCTCCAACCATCTCTCATGACATGAACTGGGGCACAGATATAGACACACCTACCAGTGAACACTAACCAATACTCATTGACCGTCCACGGTTAACACCGAAGTGACCATGTCACCGGGTACCCTATACAAGCTGGAAGATGTTTCGTTTTCTCAACACCAGGCAACTCGAACAGACGCGGGCAGTTGAAGAACTCCCCGAAAGGGTTATCAGCACCAAATCTCACCAGGGCCGCTAAAAAGGCGCCTCTTCCGATAACTTGTGAGTTAAACGGTGAATACGAGAAGCTTCGAGCTATCCGCCGCAGAGCTAAAAGGCGATATCGGAGATCAGAAAGAGCAGAGGACTATAGAGAGGCACAGCGTATCTGCACTAAAATGAATCGGCTTTTACAAAAGCTTTTTCATCAACGATGGAGAAAGCTTTTTGCAACATTTTCACCTTACACCCAGGTCAAAATGGTAGAGAATATAGTGAGCTCTTCAAAATCTCCAGTTACTTAGTGAAGCCCTTTCCAAGCTTTATCCTTGACACCAGGTACTTCGGAAATAACAGTGGCGAATGAGTTTCGCGTTTCGCTTACATAACCGGGGGCAGCGATGTCCTCTTTAGAGTATAAGGCATCACGTGAAGCCACAGAAAAAGCATTGCCTTAGTGATTAACTCAAATAACTCGCAACTAGCCTGCGATTTCAGTATTCGCGAACTAGATGAGGCACTAAGGACAAGTTTGTAAGCGCACAACTCCTGGTCATGACCAAATAACATACGAAGCACGTGCAAGTCTTGGTCCAGGAACGAAGTCAAACCTTCTTGTGATATTCAATGGCATTTGGAGCAAGGAAACTCTGCCAGATTCATGGAAACTGGCAAAGGTCGTTCCTTTACTCAAGTGTAGAAAAACTGCAGCTGCATTAGATTCACTTTGTCCGGTAAGTCTCACTAGCTGTGTCATGAAGCATATGAAAAATATGGTGCATTTACGTCTGCAATAGTGGTTTGAATCAAATCGTGTTTTACCAGAACAAATGACTGGATTTCGCCCACGAAACTGCACAGTGGGTCACTCCATCCTTGACTTTGTTACGACCATCGAACACGAGCGCAAATCTGGAAACTTAAACATTGCGGGGTTTTTTTTTCGATATTTGTGGTGCTTTTGATACCGTGAGTCACACATGTTCTGAGTGGACTCATTCAATTTAGGGTCCGAGGTCGCATTGTACGCTGGATCAAAAACTTCTTGAATCGGGAAATATTTGTAGTTACGAGTGAAAGAAACAGCGCAACACATGAAGTAAACTACGGGATTCCGCAAAGTAGCGTCCTAGATCCTACTTTATTCAACGTGGTCGTGGCTGAACTGTCGAAACGACCTCCACGACCAGGCGGATTTTTTAGGTCGCGCGCCAGACACCTAGCTGTGTTTGGAGATTTATGTTTGTCCTCTGTCCCCCTTGTTCCCCTTCTCCGGAGATGATTTTCGTCATACTTGTCCAGCTCGCTTGCACCTTCGCATTCAATTGCGTTATAATCATAACCTTAATATGCAAGCCGTTCACCCTTGTTGGTGTTAGACTGGTGTCAGCTGATAAAACCCGTTTGCTCTACTGACGTCACACTTCTGGTTAGCTCAGTTGGTATAGCACTCCACTGGAAATGGAGAGGCCCCTGGTTCCATACCAAGACCACGCGGATTTTTTTTAGTCGCGCACCAGTCACCTAGCTGTGTTTTGGTGATTTGTGTTTGTCCTCTGTCCTCCTTGTTCCCCTTCTCCGCGGATTATTTTCGTCATGATGATGCTCTTGAGTTTATTTGTTTGCCACGGTTGTTCTTGGAGTGAATTGGTGAATGTACTTTTGTGGATTGACTGGATGTGTTTCTATCAGCATTAAAAGGATACGTCAACAAAATTTGAAATATACCCGTTGTATTCAGAAATAGGCTGTATATGATCCACAATATCCTCATGGCTGTATTTTTTGTTATAAAAGCCACACTCTGGCAAGCACTCGTAGAGCAGCCAACGGAGAGCACGTGACATCCGCCGCAGTCGTGACATAGATTGTCTCGGGACGAGCATAGCTGCGGCGAGGCTGACGTCGAGAGGATGTCCTAGCCGTTCTTGCAGCTACCGAAGTGGCCGAAGCACACCAGCGATCGGCCCTCCGCAACTAACCCCGAGGCTGCTTTTGTACGAATTTTGAGTGACGGGCTATACTCTTGTGAGGGACAATAACGACGTCTGGGACAAACAAAAGAGAGCCTCAGGGAGAAGGGAGTTCCTCCTTCCCCTCATCTCTCGTGGTGGCCGGGGGCGAGAGAGTTATCGTCACTACCTGTCAAGGTTCCTAGACGGGCATTACAAACGAGGCGTTAGCGACATCCACCAGGCGCTCTTTGCTAATCGTTTAATTCGTTCTAAAATTCCTTTTCGTAGCTTTTTCAACAAGAGATTTGCATGTCCTATGTGATGCTGCTCCCTTGAACACGAACAGACCAAAAAGGAAGCCCTGAAATTTCGTTGCAGCATCCCTTTCTTCTTGTCTTCGTGTCGCTTTTTATGCCTCTTTACGTCTTGATTTCCCTGTCTTATTTGTCCTTTGTCTGAGTGTTTTCCTTGTGTTCTTAACTTATTTTGTTTTCTTGTCTTCATGTCGGTTTTTATGCCTCTTTACGCCTTGATTTTCCTCTCTTGTTTATTCGTTGTCTAGGTGTTTTCCTTTTTAACAAAAAGGCTACTGACTGTTCCTGAACACGCAAGAAACATTATTATGTATTTATTTCTTTATTTTGTTATTTGGGCGTATTGTTAGCCTGTTGAGGTTGTTACAGGAGTGTACAACGCATAAGAATACATTTGATAAAACAAACAAAATACTGACACTATGGCAACTACAGTTTCAAACATATACGTAAAAAAATACGTGAATATACGAAAAATGTCCCTACAAGTGAGGCAGGTGTTTGATACATTTGTAGAAATACACAGCGCTCGACACTGAATTCATAAATCTTCAAAAAGTCACAAAACAAGGATGCACAGAATATCATCACACAAAAAAAAAAATGGGTATAATGATTTTTCGTGAATATGAAACACTAGCGACGGGATCAAAAAGGTTCAGTAGGCCTTTTTCAAAGAAAATTTGTGTATTTGCTGTTA